GAATAGAATAGAATGAAGTAAAATAGATAAAAGAAGTATAAAATAAATAGAAAAGGAGACATATTTGCTTGTGAATAATGAAAGAAGCTCTACCATGACAGAGTGAGCGTTTCGTCGATATTGACATGTTCTTCAAGCATAAATAATCGCTTTTATCTTGGATAAAGTTCCATCATAAATAATAACGCTCGGTTTTTTTCGGAGTAGCCGAAATGTGGAGGAAAGCACGAAGCGATGAGGAATCCATCGAGCGGTGAACATTCATCTCGCATTCTCTCTCTTTGTCTGGCTGCTTTTCTTTTTCGTTCTTTTTACTCATCATGTTTCATTCTTTTTCCTTACGCAAAACTCAAAGATCATCGCAAAATAAACCTCATTGAAACGTGCGCAAAGTGACAAAAATTTAAATTGCCACTTTATTGCTGATATCACCCTCTGTTCTTCTTTCTTGCTTTTTCTTCTCTTGTGTTTTACTCCTTCTGTAATAACAATAACCCATTCAAGACTAACTACGTCGCAGGCGTCACAATGAAAACCGAGTGGAAAAACCAAGTAGAGATAGAGAACGGACGGAGGAAAGAAAGAAACAAAAATAGGAAAATGTCATTTAAGATAAATTACGGTGAATAGAACAAATAAACAAAATGTTATTTGTAATAATTTGCAAGTATTGATTTGTGGAAGTTATTCGGTTTGCCGCGGCATGGAATGTGTTTCAACCAACACGTTTGTGTGTTATTCAAAACAACATTAAATATTGATAGTCCGTTCGAGTTTTTGTACTCGTAGTACATTTATTTTTAAATAGATTTTCGCCACAGAAAATTGGCTTTTCAAATATTTACATAAATTGTGTGTGTGTGCATTTGGGGTAGAGAGGAAAATGTCAATTAATTAGGTGCTATGTGTTATGTTCAAAGCTTTACTTTAATTCAAAGTTTTACTTTAGCAATGTTCACAAGGAGTGCAATAATACATAAATATCCAATAGAATGGAGGCAGTGAATTTAATACCAACTCCCCTCGAAATCACTGCTATATCGATAGTCATTCACCGAAAATTGATTTTGTGTGCCGAGAGTTCAATCACATTCTTATTCACCGAGGTGAGCTCACTTCACACAGAAAAGCTTTACGAAGATTTTTTTTCTCGACTTATTTGGATTTTTCCGACCGATTTCTAGTTAAATTGATGCGATCTTCCTTGAATCTCGCACACATTCACACACATAAAATACACCGCTCATTTTAATGTATCAAGATTATTTCTTATCATTTGCTCCCTTTCTTCGTCTTTTTTTTCTTCTCTGCCTTGTGTGCATGCTACTCATCTTTCTTCTCTTGTTGCCATACCGCAAACAAATAAATGCCAAACAAAAGACAAGAAGAAGAACAAGATGAAAATAAAAAACGAACCATTTCACATTTCATAAAATGTCTGTATTTGCAATCCAACTTGATTTTTGGTCGATTGTTCTGTGGGTCTGTGGGTGTGCTACCAGCCACCAAAGCGGAGGAAATTATTTTCCATTAGTTAGTCTCTTTTCCAAATGCTATGAATATAATGGGACGTCGTCACAAAGACTCTATGCCACACACATTGTTGTGTTCGCATTGTTGTCACTGGCGCCGTCGCCTCTGGCGTTTTTATTCACCATGCAAATGTTTTGTGTTTTTTTCCCTTCATCGCTATTGCTCTTTCTCTTTCTCTCGCTCAATTTTGGGTGTGCGAAGACAAAACTACCAGCTGGTAATAATTCCACTTAGAATTTTTTCTTTCTTCGAATCACCTGATTTCCTTTTGATCGATAAAATAAGCCAAAATTCGGAAGGAAACCATAGAGGCCACTTCATGACCTCTCTTTTGAACAGAAAATTAAAATCGATTGAAAATGAATGCTTTTTCTTCGAATTCGAATGAGTTTCATTTCAATGAGATATGCTCAAAACTGGAAAATACACTTGGGAATTGAAGTATTGGTAAATAACTTCAAAGAAGAATATTAAATGAAAATCATGAAGAAAATACGCATAAAACTTGAGCAAATCATCAAAATCTTACATCTTTCTCACTTTTATCGTCATTAAATATCCAATTTTGCGACTCTTCAATCGTGATTTTCATCAGTCGTTTTTATTCATCAATCGCAGTAAAGCTGTAACTAAACAGTAGCAGCTGGGTGAAATTTCATTTTGATCCGATTGCCCATACACACATACAATTGGCGTGTTTTATTTGTGTTCGAGACGAACAGCGATAGCCACCGTCAATTGTTTGAAATTTACATTTTACCAAATTTACATCGATTAATCGAAAATTACTTCAATTATTGCCTCATAAAAAAACACAGGCTGCCATGACACTAGGGTGCTGCGCAATGTACATTATTTTGAAAAATTGATAGCAGCACTAGTTCGGATTATGAGAATCAATGAAAAAAAAACACGGACAAACCTTTTTCAGCGATTTATATTGCACTCACACCAATTGGAAAATCTATGTAGTTACAGATGTGAAAATTAGTGAAAAATATGAAAATTTACAAAAAAATCGACGATTTTCGACATATTTACATGTATTTTTCGCCTTGTGACCAAAGAATTTAATACATATAGCATAAAATTCCTTTTTTTAATTGATTTCACATCGAGTTTTGTTCATTTTCGGTGAAAAATATGTATTTTTTGCCAAAATTTCGTAATTTCATACTAGGATATATATATGTATTAAATTCTTTGATCACAAGGCGAAAAATACATGTAAATATGTCGAAAATCGTCGATAATTTTCATATTTTTCACATCTGTAACTACATAGATTTTCCGATTGATGTGAGTGCAATATATATCGCTGCAAAAAATTTGTACGTGTTTATATGTTATTTTTCCATTGATTCTCATAATCCAAGCTAGTGCTGCTATCAATTTTCCAAAATAGTGTACATTGAGCCGCACCCTACATGACACGTTCTTTCGCAGCGTCGATGCTACTGATTTTTTTTTTGCCGCGCAAATACTCCCATAATTCACGCTTGAAAAAAGTGCTTCTAGCCAATTTAATTAAATGTTGATTTGTCAGGGGTGAATGAATTCAGTAAAAAAAACAAATTTAAATGATTTTGATAAAATTCAATTATTTCCAAATCGAAGTTGTTGTTATTTTTTTTCTCGGTTATAATTTGTGATTATTTGATGGGATGGAGGAAAACGAGGAGTTATCTCCACTCTGACTATTTTCAAGTCGACCAAAAACGACGTAGCGGTTCGATAACGAAACAAAGAGGACCAACCAAATCAATTTATGTTGCATGGATTCCAATACAGTGATCAAAGCACAACTATGTGAATTCATAAATCAATTCGTGTATGGTGTTGGGGTTTGTGTTTTAGATTGATCTATTTTGGAGAATTGGAGTTATATGTTCGTGTAAGGGAATCAACAAAATGAACGAAATGCGAATTATTCCAACCGCTTTGAACGCCCTTTCAATTTCAACTTCATTTTCTCATTTCAGCCGAAATTCGGGCCACAACGGTGAACGAGAAAAAAAAGCACACGCTCATACACAGGCAAAGATATATAGATAGACAAAGGGAAAGATGAATTCACGTTTATTGTACGAGCTGCAGGTTTTATTTTTTTCCAGCGTGCTACACTTGTTTGATTAATAAAATGAGAAAGAAAAACAAAAAGGGCATCAAGCATTTGTAACTGCTGTCGAAGAGCATTAGTGATGGACCTGATGGGAAAAAAAGCTCCTTCAAATCGGTTGAAGGCAGCCGGCTCGTTGAGAGTAAGAGCGAATGACAGAGAGGGAGATGGAGAAATGAGAACGATGAGATCTACACGGGCTTTGATGTTCCGCGTGTGGTATACAGTTGAAACATTGTTACATGGCATATATTCAGATGCTCATGTGCCAATATACGATGAATAAATCAACATATCTGCACCACTTTTCTTCATCCATCGTCATTTGCTCGTTAGTAGAGGCAGTAAACCGGTCACATATCTATTAAGCATTGTAATCTTTGTACATACTAAACGCGTTACATCTCATACTCTAGCTCTCATTCTTTCGCATTTGAACCTAAGCACATAGATAGATGGGCGCATATGTTGCCATTGCCAGAAGACTCGCATTGCCCTACGAAACACACACATACATTATTCACAAAGTGAACGAAACTCTCGGTGAAATGATTAATTTTCTATCAAATTGTGTCGGTGTTGATGCTACTGTGGCGGCTGTGGATGGATCCAAAAATCCAAGTTGACCGTCGAATGTTAAAAGTCAAACCGAAAGAAAAATAAATAACTGAATGAGTAAATAGCAAATGAAAAGCGAAAGAAAATGAGTTAGATAGAGAAGAGGAGAGTGTGGGTAGTCGGTAGTCAGGTCATAAAAAAACTCATAAGTCAAAAAGGATTCAACATTAACATAGGAAATTCTTTATCTACCTATTAATTAAATATACAATGCGAGATATTGTAGATCGGTTGCAAATGTGAATACTCATCGTCTACGGTTTTATGAACTCATTTATTTCTTAGGACAAAGGGATGAACGAGAGCGATGATGATGCTCCAATATGTTGGCCAATATTCGAAATTGTGATTTTCGGCGTGCATGTGTTTGAACTTCGATGATGTGTATAAGTATAATGATTTCATTAATTTTGAACTCAATACTCAATTTCAACAATTCCGACCTGTTTGCTCAAGCATAAATTGACGCAAAAAGGTGCACTTAAGCTCAAGTCGCTTTTCATATACACATATAAACGATACGACAGCACAGAAAAAAAAAGAAAAATCCATGCAAAATCATCAAAATGCAAGAGCAAGAGAGAGAGCAAGAGAGAGAGAGCGAGAGTCAAGGTCTACGGAAAATGGTGTGTTATAATAAAAACAACAGCAAAAAAAAGAAAGAATAAATGAAAAAGTCAAGAAAACGAAAAGTTAACATTATCGCACACATACAAACTGGGAAAATTACCTTTTGGATAGACATAACCCATGTTTTTGGTTCGTTTATTGCTTCGATGGATGGAAATGACGGTTGCGATGACAATGTTAATCGTAACACCTGCAGTTGGAGTTCGTTCCGTTACTTTCGATATTGCTCGCCTATAAATAACTAAATAGAGAACGGCACTCTCAACAACGTCTTCTCAATCCCGTTCTCTATCTATTTCTCTCTATTTTCCCTCTCTATTTCGGTGATTTCCAAAATGTAATAGTTGAGTAATTTTTGTTTTGTTTTGCTTGTTGATAATATGATCCATAAACTATTCGGTGGTTGCTTTTGATTTTGTATTACCCAGCATTATTATTTCATGATAAATACTGGTGTATTTCGAACAAAACTTTTTTACAGTGTCGAAGGTGTGATGCATTCAATGGGAGAGAAATAAATTCATGCGAATCGAATTCGTTTCCTATCCTGTCCCATGCTATATTTGCGCATCCAAAAGAGTGATTCTGCGGCTGTTTGATCCCAACTCGGCGGTGAGCATGCGTTTGTACCTTGATAAGCTTTTCTTTTGATCCTTTTGTTGTCCGTTGTGTACACATATATGTTTGTTTGTGTGCGTGTATCGTTGAGAGCTGGTACGACTTTAAGTTGAATTATACGTCCATATCCAAAATATTTGTTTGCCTCTATTTTTTTTTCTGCTATTTTCTGCTATGGTCGCTTTGCCAAATGGTTAGTGTGATGCTGGTGCTGATTTGATTGCATCAACAACAACGCAAACGATATTAAAATAGAAAAGCACAACAACGGGGCTGTCGTTTCACTCACTTAACTTAAACGAAAAACATATGTCTCGTTGCACGGTAGAATGGCCCAAAATTGATGCAACAATGTTCCATACATTTGCATAAATAGCTTGGTTTCGAAATCGTTTGTTGAAAAGGGATAACCAAAGCACCATAGACGAATGGAACAAAAGAAGATGAACAGAGAAAATACGAAGAAAAAACCAACCAAACTGAATGTCGAATAAGGCGATTGGACAAAAGGCCGATGTGATTTCGGTGGAGGGATAACAACAATTCCAATATTTACTATGATAATATCCTCTAGTTCCGTTTTTCCCCCTGTGACTTTGCACGAGAAGTTGTTGTTGTTGTTTTTCGGTCGATTTTCGGATTTCAATTTTAGTCAAGTTTTTAGCCCGATTTCAGTCCGCCAAAAGCCAAAAAGCTTTGCAAATGTAATTTACACGCTGTCCATCGCGCTTTGCACTTGTAGCCCGTGAGTGTGTGTGTGTGTGTGTGTTTTCGATTTTCGTTTTTCTACCTTTTTACGTAAAAAATTTTGATCCATCCTTCAGAAATGATGAATTGACAGAAACAATTGTAATATATTCCAATGCTGTCTGTCAATATTCCTCCACGGATTGCCGAACACCTACACAATAATGATGAATTGCAAGTCGTAGTTTGATTTGTTCCTTTTCGTTTCTATTCACTTTTTTCTTTTTTCTTTCTGTCTGTCTTGCTTCCAAACACACAACACAATCACATCCGTGCGACCATTTCACTTGTTTCCCGTTAGATTCCGCCGTAGTTTTGTCGTCTTACTCTCTGCCTGCCTACCTGCTGTCTCTGTCTGTCTCCGACTCTCTCTCTCTCTCTCTCTCTCTCTCTCTCTCTGCTCGCTTGCTCTATCAATTTTCTTTCTTTTTGCCTTGTACATAAGGTAACATAATTCAATCAAGCAGGTTTTCGCCTCGGACGTGCCGCGACAAATGCACACGAGCAGAAAAAAATCTGATTGGATTTTCCCATTTAACGCTACGGCAAAACGAATTTAAACGCTTATAGCATTTTGCTATTGCCATTGTCTCTTGCGATGCATTTCACTCTCTTTGAAACGAGCGCGCGCTCTGGCAACAACACACACACACAAACTATTTCCAATCAATTTCCGTTCGGTTTATGCAATGCACTTGATGATGGACTTGGCTGGTGTTGATAATAATCAGGATGTTGTCAAAGATACCAATCATCTAAAGGGATCGAAATGAATGAAAACAACAGCTAAAACACATTCCAGCATTCATAAAATCCATGCATAATTTGGTTGTAATAAACACTTTTCCCTCTTAATACACGCACAGCGATTGAGATTGAGTTTCAGTGTTCAGAGTATCCTTTTTGTAAGTCCTCGTATTTCAGAAACAATGAGTTCACAATAGTGGTAGTAAACTCGTTTACATATTTCAATTTACAGCAAACCGTGTGTATGTGTGTCTGTATATGTGTCAGTCACATTTAGCGTCAGGCATTTACACAGCGCAAGCATTTATAAATTATACACATTTCGAGTAATTCGCTATCTGCCGAAAATGGTCTGTATGTGATTCAATGATACGATGATGATGGTGGTGGCGGTGGTGTTGGTGATGTTGGTGCTGATGGTGCCTTATTCTAATTTACGGTGATTTATTGTTATTGGATGTTCTTTGGTTGTTGATGTCTTTTGCCGCCACTATAAATTCCCCACAATGATGAGCCCTTCTCAATGATTTTTTAATACAAGCATACTCATTTTCTTTTCGATCATTTAACTCGTAAAACTGCCATTTTGATGATACTTTTTAGCCACTCGCCGTTTTATCATTAAGATTCACTCTTTTGCGCTCGTTTCTATCTCTTTTGCGGTTCTTTCGTTATTGTTGTTGTTGTTTTTGTCTTTTTTTCGGTTCACGCTATCACACTCAACAATTTGTTCATGTCCAAGTTTTATATCACTCTATTCATTCAGCTCTGTGTCAATGTCGTGTGCTTTTGCTCTTTATTTTTTGCTGAACGTATTGTTCGCGTGTGAGAAAACACTTGTGTACGTTTTTTGTGGTTCTTGCTGCGATTGCTTAAGCGGAGGCACTGTTTGTTGTTGACGCATACATATATATATATATATATATATATATCGCCATTCGAACACCTCAAGTGCAATTTCATGCAGATGCCATGGATTATCCGTATTTTAAGTCTCTATTCTTTGGTTAATGACTTGTCGCATTCAGTTAAGCTCATGTCTTTGCATCATCATCCGAGAATCAATTCTATCAAAAACACATTAGGAGCCAGTCGAAAAAGCATGATTTACACTTTAACGAAAAACAAACTGTTCACCGAGAGAGTTCGACCTTATCGCACTTTGAATCAACCGACAAGTGTGCAAAGAGTTTTGCTTCTTTTTCTTCCTTTGAATCTCATTCTTATTCACATCTCTTGTGTTTGTGTCTGTTTCGTGTTATTTTTCTCTTTCTTTTTTTTCCGAAAAATTTATTTCCGATTCAAACCCGACTAGAGCATAATTCTGTGCAATTAAAGGCAACTGAACGAAAAAGAAATCCACCATACAAACTAAAATACACAACACAAATTCGATTTATGAAAATTTCATCGTTTTTTTTTTATTCTGTTCAAATTTTGTCGTTCATCGTTTCACTTCGTCTCTCACTGATGCTCACGGTACGAGTTTTTTTTTTGTTGACTCTACAGATTCTCATCCGGGACTAAGCAACCGAGAAGAGAAAAAATGGTTTTCTTACTTTGATTGTTCGTACACATTGCAACAGCAACACAGTTGAGAATCTTTAAGTTGCGCAACCCTATTGCAACAGCATCAAATGCACAACCCGTGCTTCCAAATTGCATTTTTTTTGTACAAAATGATGAATTTGCAATTAACTATAGAAAATATGACCAATTTCTCTAAAAGTTTTATTGCAATTTCGAAGCAATTGGACATTTTGGATGCAAAATAGTTGTCATCTCAAAGATTTCTGATAACTTGGCTGTTGCCACAAATACACAGACACAAGACACACAGTGGAAAAGCGTATCCAGTTTTTCGCGAATGAATGGTATATACGCAAATGTACATAGACAATACCAATACCATAACACACGAGAACATTTACTACACGAAGAGCAAGCACGTATTTAACTTTCTATTTCCATAATAACGCGGATTTCATCCCAGTTGTTGTTGTTGTTGATGCTGTGTGCCGTTGATGTTGATGTTGGTGGTGGTGGTGGTGACGATTATGGTGTTGGTAGCTATGTTATTTTATTTCGGTCCATTCGACTCAGCGTATCGCGTAACGCGTTTGCTGCTTGTCGATTATGCATTGCTTTCCAGTATGTGCAAATGTCCTAAACATTGGCATTACATACACATACATGCACATTTGCACACACACACACACGCACACACGCATACACACACGATGTAAACCGATAACAATGTACATCCTGTGGAATGGTTGGAGCCATAGATTACACAAGCAAATAAAAACAATCATTCCACTTGAATGTTTTTGTGTGTTTGTAGAAGCTCGGAACAAGTTCGTCCCGTTCTTCGCAAGTGTGAGAGTTGTACGGGAGTCAAATGGGCTTTCACACAGACCAACATTGGAATTTCTTTTCATTTTTTTTTCTCTCTCTCTCTCTCGGTTTTATTGAATTGGATTTTTGTTGCTGCTGTTGTTGGATTTATTTTCAATGTTAATTCGCGTGTTGCTAAAGCCAGACATCCGTAAGCATGCATGGAATTTATGAAAAGCCAACCATAAAGAGCAAGAGTAAGAGCGCATATTGATTTCAAGGGGGAAAAAAAGCGTTGGAATTTTTTATGGGTAAATGTTACTGATAAAATCCGAGTGATAAATCCCAAACTGAGTGTCATGTAAACGAAATATAATAAGCATCAAGTAACTAGCTGCAGAAAGCGAAACGAATGAAATGGAAAAAAAAAGAGAGAAAGAGGAAAAAAATTAGCGTGAGATTCATCTCTTCTCTCGCGCGCGCCGCTACATCATCACACACGAGAAAACATGCTCGTGCATAGCGCGCGCGATGAATGGAACGCTATACCGAAATGAAAAGGCATTGAAGGAAAAAAAAGCACAAAACGAAAATCTATGAAACTGAGGCAAAACGAAATTGATATTGCGGGATATTATATTTGGTTCGGATGTTTCCGCCGCTTTTTTCCTCACATCGAAACATACACACGCACGCACACATATCCAATCGTCCCGTGGCTGCTCTCGGATTCTGTCAGCCATCTCTTCCATCTGTGTGTTGAGCTAGTCCGTTGTTCGTGTTGATGTTTTGGGGTGCGTCGCGCATGAGCTATACATTTACATCGATCGGTAAACAGTTATTGGAATATACAATGTACATAGCAAGCTCGAATGCTATAGATGTTCGCATCTCAAACATCACGGCTGTGAACCATGGAATGTGCCAAAAAACGATGAACACGATGTCGGTATAATACACAACAACAACATGGATAGTAAAGATGATGATGGTATGCGCTTCACAGGTGCGATACTTGTTCATTGGCACATATCCACCAACTGGTAATGTTGTCCGCTATTCTCGCTATCCATTACTTCGTCTTTTCAATACGGCGTCGTTTTCTTCGATTCTTTTTCCCTTCCAGTTTCATCTTGTGAACAGCGTGTTCGGTTCGCATAAACGAATCGTGTATGATATGTACATTGGGGGCAATATGCTCGATATCTAGCGTGTCTACCGATAGAGAAGAGATGCTATGACACACCAGCATTATTTCCCGTTAACTTTTGGCAAAAGCAATAGAGTGCTCCAAAAGACTTTCAAACGGTGGTGCGTGTATTGCGTGTATGAATGCATACTAAGAAGCACCACGAGAATGTGAAAAAAAAATATCACGGAACATGAAAGATGCCTCGTATTCATCGGCTAAGGAGACTTTGTTTTTGTAACTGTATGGGAATGAGAGAGCGCATTTTCAAATTCCATGGATGAACGATCCTTTTTTCTTCCCTTTTCCAAATTATAACGAGGAAAAAACATCCCAAGAATGTTAATTAAATAAATAAATTACTGCTATACGCTTGCCAAAGATAAGCTCTTCATTTTCCCTTGGAATTAACGTTTTGATGTGAATATATCGCTAACATTCCTTTCGTGAAGCTCTTGAACTTTAAGCGCGAATTTCTTCTTTTTTTTCCATTTTTCTTCGTCGTCTTCTTCAAGAAACTGAAAATAATTAAATTTTTAATCACTCGCCCCCTTTTTCGCCGACACCGGGCATGCCTACATAGCACACTTAAATTTTGGGATGGAGTTTTTTCTTCTTCAACTTTTTGGATATATCATTCGAATATGTATCAAAAAAAGGAAGGATTTTCTTTTCTCGTAATGATGATTTTGTGTCTTGTGACCTCATCTCATTTGAATTCTATATTTATTATCGTTTGTTGTTGTTTTTACTTTCATGAAAATCACTTGAGCACTTTGGCGCGAAAAAGACATTTATGCGTCCCAGATGGTGACACCGAAATTTACATGAATTGCCGGAAAATATGGAAAATTGGATAATACCCTATTGCTCAATAGATGAATTTTATTGAGTTTTCGGATCTGATCACTGATTTTGAATAAAGCTTAGAGCATGCAAAAGCCCATTGAAATTGTGGCCCATAGCGAGAGAAAGAGAATGAGAAAACATTGAGATTGTTGGACGAAATTGCCTTAATTCGGTTAAGCATCCATAGTTTGTTCTATTCGTTTGGCTAGATAAATGACTGAAACCTCTGCACAAAGCCTCATTTTATGGTTTTTCGCATGTCTGATAAGAACAATGAGAGTGAGTGACTGTGTTTTAGTTTAAGAAAAGAATCTATTTGATAGTCTCAAACACACACAGAGAATGAGAGAGAGAGAGAGATAGAGAGAGAGAGAGAGAGAGAGTGATAGTAAGGCTACAATAGAAAGCTTTCGATACATATACACACAATGTATGATGAACACAAAAGGACATCAGCAAGTCAAAGAGTCTATTTTATACCGTATAATTTGTAACATATTTGAACAATTGGAGAGGCACGGTAGAAATCACATGAAATTCTGCAGCTTTTTCAATTCTTCTCTTGCTCGCTCGCTTTCTGTATGCACGGTGAGCAGCTGGATGGCAGGATACAGCAAGATTGAGGCCATCATATTAATTTTCATCATGCATATTTGCACAATGCTGGTGATGGTGACTTTTAAAAAAGTAGTTTTTGCTTTTTCCCATTCACGATATATGCGGACACAACATCAAAAAAAGAGAAACGATGAAAAAGAAAAGAGGAATGGAGAAAAAAAAACAACAACAACATCAACGCAAACAAAATGAAGTGAGAGACAAAAGCCACTGGAGAATCGACGACACGAGCACACGAAAAAAAAAACATGAAAATAAGACTCAGTGAAGCAAATGAAATGAAAGCAAAAGGCAAAACGCAAGAAATAACGATATAAATATCCTGGCATTTTATATACTGGCATTCATTCCATTTCATTCACCACTGGCCATAAACAATCATCCACAAGCACTTATACAACCGAAGAGGGAATGGATTGAGCGAGCGAGCGAGAGCGAGAGAGAAAGAAAGTATACTAAAACCGGAGAAAGCGAGCCAGAAACACGCACACACTCGGGTCCATGTGTGATGTTTATTAGACACAATGGTCGGGCGATGGCTTGACAGCTGTATGGCTGAGTGGCTGAACACTTTTGACTGGAAATGAAAGCGGTGCCACAAATGTTATTATACACGCTTTTCCCAATACAAACACATACATTATGGGGTAGTTCGCTTTTTGTTCATGCTTCACTCACTCATTTACGCCACACAACCAGCCGAGTATCATCATCGAATTGACGACGATGGACAACGGACGAACCAACTAAACTTCATCGCATCACTCACTCTTATTTTTTCTTCTCATTTAATCAATTTGAAATTTCGGACAAAATCAATGGATCTATTTATTGGATCCGAACCGAAAAACAAAGAAATCTGGAATTGATTTATCCATCGCAAGCACTACTTCGATTCGATACACAATTTTGGTAATCGATTGAATCTATCTAAAAGCGCAACTTTCATATGCAGCATTCCATAAAATGAGCCTAGTATTATTCTTTATGCGAACATTTCGATTTTAATTCGTTCGTATTGTGTTTGGGTGTTGATGTTCATTTGGCAGTGCTTGATTTAATCGCTAAGTAGCAGGGATGGAGAGGCATGTATTGGACTAGGACTTGATTGAACTAATATATCATGGCCGCGCGCTAGTTTATATGCTTGTATCGATTAAATTTGATGTGCGAGGCATGTGCAAATCAAAGTATATTTGAAACCTAATATTTGAGCTGTTTTATTGATCGAATTTTTGTAATACGATAAGATGATAACAGACTTCAATAGTAAGATTACGGCATGGCATGGCGTGGCGTGGCTGGACGTAGTATCGACGATTCATCGAATTCAATGAATTCGATTAAAGAATTTCAATTGAGTCTTCGATGTCGAAGAAGAACAAGAACAAGAAGTGTAAGTATGGAAGAGAGAGAGAGAGAGAGAGAGAGAGAGAGAGAGAAGTCAAAGTGAAACCGGTGGTAAAGCCTATTTTCTAGTGTTAAATTGCACTATTGCATTATTGATGAAACGATGATAAAATTGTTGAAATTACGTTTCAACCGTCGAGTGGAGTCTTCTTTGAGGTGCATATTTGAAATAAACGCAAGCAATAAGGTTGGAACTTGATGGAATTTTGAGTTGCAGTTTTGTGGGTGTATGTGTGTGTGTGGATGTGAGTGAGACGAGTAAGCGAGAGCTGAAAATTGCATCTTGTTAGTGCCTATGCTCACTAGATTCCATGTGCTTTCACTTATCGCTAGATAATTTTGCAATAGGTCTCGACGCCATCCCCATTAATAGGTTATACAATACATATATATATATATAAACACGCGCTCATTCGGTGTCCCCTTTCCACTTCCGTTCGACATCGGTACGGAGATAGAGAAAAAAGAGCGGATGTTCTCCATTTTAGAATCAAGTTTCTTCTTTTCAATCCAGTGTCATATGTGCATGCGGGGGACTTTTTTTTATTGAATTTTGTTCGATTTTCCCATTCATAGTCATTAAAATACAGCTATTGACAACGACTGACCGATATTCACATACGCATGCAGCACTAAAATAATAAGTTCGAGAAAAAATCACCCTCACACTCTCCATTGAAATAGTTGGATCGGATATTACGAAGCATGTCGCTTTCTTTGACATTATTCGTTTTTTTTCTCTCTCTATCCTAGATGGCATGCCTTGTATAATACATAGTCGATCACATCAGAGAGGATGTGTCACTTCGTTTCCATTTCCGCGAATGGAAAGAAAAAAATCTCTTTCTCTTTCGAACCATATATTGTAATGTGAATGAATCCCTTTGTGCTTCAGTCGAAAATATCGAACTTCCTGCTCTAATCGTTGATTAAACTCATTAATGGAAACTGTTTGTTTTAATTTTATTGTCATGTTACTGCTACCTTTCCCCCGCCCCCTCTCTTCTCACTTGCATGTTGTAACTCGCTGTTTTGTTGAATTGCTGCTGCATATATTTTCTTCGTTACGACAACGACGAATTCTTTGTATGCGCCGCGCCACACACCATCATCTTCTTCAGTTATATTTGAAATCAGTTCGCTTGAATGAGCGGAAAAAATGAGAAATGAACTGAGATTGTATTGGTGCGTGTGCGTGTGTGCTTGGTATCAGATTTTTGCCATTCTCCATAGATACGCTTGAACCAGTCCTTCTTCTCCTTCTTCTTCTTCTTCTTGTTATTTTTTTTTCTTTCTCCACAGCCCAAAAACTTCCGGCATTTTCAGTCACATTCATGTGACAAATGTAATGAAACATATTGGTACTTTGCAAAAAGCCAAGAGTCGACCAACAAATCAGCTACGGCGAAGGATAGTAACATTAACGTTTGCTCACAAAGTATTCTGTGAAACGAAAATCGCATCTATTAACATTTTATCATATTTTCCACGTGATGTGCTCAAATCATTACTTCCGAAACTCAATAAAAATATATTTTGACGATGTTTACTAGGGGATATATTACTATTTGCTTTAACTCCCTGCAAAGATGGAAGAAAAAAACGCATTTCATTTGATTACGTGTACAAATGGCAATGGTGGAGGAGTATGAAAATTGCCGGCGCACTGTTCCAACGCAACTATAGTAAATACAGCCCCTAGGATGTTTGTACTACTCTTCCGCTTTCAGCGAACATACGTTACGGTCTTTAGATCTTAATCGTTATTATTATTGCGGAAACTTTTGGAAAATCAGTGTACCCAAAAGAGGTACTATTTCTTTTCACTGTCGCATTGTCGCTGTTTCTGCGTTTCATTTGGTGTAAAATGGGGACGTTCGGCTTGAATAGCGGCTCGATGCAAATATCATCATCAAGGAAATATACAGTAATGTCGACTGCAGCAAACGGAAATTATTCCTTTTTCGGAGTGAGTTGAAAATCAAACAAACACAACCACACACCCACACGAACACAATGAGAAAAAGAGAGCGAAGGGACACATTACCTTCTCATTTCAGCTGCTGGCATATGTGAATGTCATTGTCATCTTCATCGTTCACAAAGAGAATGATATCCCATTGAATTGATATTACCATTGTCGTATCAAAATAGAAATGATAACAAATGATTTGTACAGCGTAAAAAGACAGGTGTCTAATGGCAACAATTAATGTCACACTACAAACTAAAACAACACAAATCAAACGTCCGTATTCGTCTTTTTGCACAGTTATTTCAAATATTCATGTTTATTTCTTCAATTTCTTCTATTCATAAAGTCGGTTCCTCTTTGGAAGTTATAGATTTAAAAGAGCGACTAATAAATAACAGTGGTATTGTACAACGTGATATTGCAATTTGTTTTTTCTCTTCTAAAAACGAAACAACAACAAAAAATTATATTTTAAATATAGAAAATAATGTCTATCTATAAGTCTTCGTTTTGGGTGGGGAAAAAAAGGTTTGTAAAAATTGATTGGTAGGTACAATTTCTACAGCAGTCGTTTGCGACATCCTGGTGCTCCGCACTTGCATTTGATTTGTCGTCCCTCGATTGAACCGATCGCATAATTGTAGTCCCAAGTAAGTTCAGTGCCGGCTTTTATATCGAATGACGCAAAAAATGCTAGCCAAGGAAAACGCAAGTCATGTGTATCGACGAACACAGTTTGGGAAAAGAGATTCGGTGAACAAGAGTGCTGTGTGAAAAAGGGGGAGGAAAACAACAATAACATAACTTTTAGCCAATTATTTGGATATTAGAGTGTGAATGATTTTCGATTTGAAAACAAACTTACATTAAAGAATCGGCTAATATTTCCTCGAAATCGGCCGTCGACAACAAATTCAACGGCATTCTCGCCATACAGTTCCGTTCGTTGAGTCTCTTCGGTTATTTGCCGCTTCTTCATTATGTTCGGGAAATAATCGAGGCAGTCATTGGTTGTTTTTGTATTAATAAGACGTGGTGTTCGTTGTTTGAATGAATCATCCAATTTCTGTCGTTTCATTGGTGTTCCAACCAAATCGTCTGGGTCCACGTCTACGTCTGATTCATAGCCATCTTTGTACTGTTCGGCCATTTCGATGTGATCGAGTTGCATGAAATACTCATCACCATGGATGGAACCGACCTTTTTCATTGCACGCTCATCGGCCGTTTTTCCATGCAACAAATCACCAAAATAGCATGAGATAAATGTACCCTTTGGTAAATCCGTTTGGCATCGAATTCCATAACCACGATTTTTGGTTTCATATAGCTCTAGTTTTTGTTCAATTTGTGCGGTAACCACGCGATTCAAGCAACGGCTTGAACACTTGCAACTCGGATTGCATTCGTAAATGCCTGTATCAACCTTATCATTCAAACGGCGGTACTTGTAACCAGCCGAACGATTTGTGCCACGTGTTAGTTGCCAACATGAGCATTTTGATGTATCGGAACAATCGTCTTCACAATCACAGCCACTGCGGAATGGATTATCGACTTCGTTCAATATTGCGGGTACTTTTTTGCTGCGTGGATTGCGTCTGTATCGTGTCACGTACTCGTTGAAGTGTGGCACATTTGTACCGATTGATACAACCGGTATGCGTTGATTTTCTCGCCATCCTCCAGAAATGAGCTGAAATTTAAAAAAAAAGCCACCAAGATTGACTTACGGTTGTATTAAATAGGCAACGAAAAAAGAAGGAGGAACAAAGCAAAAGCAAAATTAGATTGGAAAATGTCATTATTAAAACGTACATCGTTCAGGTAATCAACTCGGCCCCCGATAGAATAGCTTTTAACTTCAGTCATACATTCGATATTCGTGGAAAATGTGAAGCAGTCAACGGTTAATTTTGATTTTGTGGTGAGTAGGTACTTATGCGTTGCCTCAATGGTGTTTAACGACCGGCCGCATGGTGCTACATAGTAACATGGACCGGTAATATTGCGGCGTGTCCAACCAGCCAACAATGGCCGCTTCAACGGATCAAATTCGAATATTTGCTCGTTTCGTTCAACTTCGTGAACACAGTCGCGTCCGCAAATATGCCTTCGATCAAGGCGTTTGCTCGGTTTATAATTATCAATGAGCGTATCTGGCTTTAGCATCACCCGTTTTTGCGACGGATCCTTTGCATCCTTTGGCAATGGCTGCTTCTGTGGTGATTGATAATCCTCTTCCTCTTCGCTGTCTGATGACACTTCGATCATCGTTGCGTTTGCGTCATGATATCGCTTGAGTTTTTTGTTTTTATTTATCGACATCCAAACTTTTTCCAATCGTGGAGATCCTATGTATATCCATTCAGCATTCCGTGACTTTTCATATTGTAACAAAGCCAGCCCGGGTTTGTTTTTATCGTATCCAATAACGCAGGCTGTTTCGAATTCACCATTTAAAAACACACGAACCCGAGAGTCCTCTTTTAATACGATTTCGATCAAGTTTGCCTTTACACCGTCAAAGTAGTAATCGTAGAAGCGTTGCGCATTTGAGTGAACATATTTCGTGCCATAGTTCCCAAATACCACGCGAATGTCATCGCTTGAAACGTACTGCACATGACCGTCATCAAAGAATACCAAATACGACCAAATTCCGTCTTGCGCATATGCGTGTGCGCTAATTATTCCAGCATAAAATGCATTATCAACATTGGCATAGATCGCCACATATCTATCCTCCGATCGTGAATAAACGAGCGGCATACCTTCTGTCTTTCGCCGCGCAATCACACGTGTCTTTGCGCGCAATCGATTACGCGGATTGGTCGCAGCTCCATTCGCAACGCAATGATTTGGAATTGTCTTCATTTGCCCATCGTTACACTTGATGACATGGTATTTCATAGGTTCCGTGACTTTGTACTCTTCATCATCGTCGCTGTCAAGAGTTATAACTACGCATTCGGATGATTTTGCACGAAAAATTGAATTGAACTTTATCAATGGCTTGGCTAATGAATAGAGGAAAACGAAAAGATACATGTAAATTAAGTAAACCGTTCATCAGAGCCATTCTAACTGAAGTGATGCATACTAGAATAAAAATCACTAATTCAAAAGTATAGAATTTAGAAGCTGATTAAATACAGTGCGTGCAAAACTATTCCCGCATAACCATCGGAGGCAAATCTAGGCATATATGACGGCCAATTCAGGCCAAAACTTCGTGAAAATTCCATTTAAATGCCGTTGAATAATTTTATTCACATTTTTCAAGTGTTTTAAGTGTCGGCGTTTTTGTAGTACAATTCCTATTTAAATACTGATTTTAACCAGATTTCACTAAAAATACGGAAAATCAACACCCCACCGAATTTAAGCCCTACGTTATAATAGTATCGATTATTTTTTCTTAACTTTTAAGACATCATTAGTTCATACTGCAGATGCACAAACGATTACCAGAGTTAACATTTCACTCTTTCTTTCATTCATTTACTCTCTCTTCACACTCTTTCCACTCTTTCGCATGTATACTATAGGCAAAGATGTGGATAGAGAGTACGAATTAGTACTATTTGGCTCATTCTATTCTATTTTGTACGCATCGGCAAGTCACCAATGCATAGACTTGCGCTGTCGCTGTAAATGTACATAAGTGACGAAATAGAATAGAATGAGCCAAATAGTACTAATTCGTACTCTCTCTCCACACCTTTGCCTATAGTACACATGCGAAAGAGTGGAAAGAGTATGAAGAGAGAGTAAATGAAGGGAAGAAAGAGTGAAATGTTAACTCGGGTGGTTTTTTTGGCACATCTATGGCTCTAATCTACTAAATGTAAGAACAAATACTCAAATATATTGAAAAATGTATGATTTACGCTTGAAAATGAAATTGACAATCATTTTGTCCCACTCTGTAAAGTTCATCTGAATTAATCTAAAAAAATGAAATACGGCTGAGAGCGCCTTAGCTCTTATTCTAACTTATTGTTCATTCGACTAAGTTTGCATGCTTTGGCTAGCTAAAATTGCTTATTTTAAACCTAATATTTTGAAATTAACTTTATTTATAATCGTTGTTTATAATCAAAATGTCCGAAACTGGTTCCTTAGCCAAAAGACCATGGTGATCTCGACAACAACATTTTTGGATTCAATCAACTTAGCCAGTTGTTTGTCGCTACATTTAATTCATTTCATTTGCACGAGGAAAAACGAATTTTGACATTTTTGTCGAAAATAAAAATGCTTATACAAACTTTTTTGTTCATCGTCATCATCACTATCGCTGATTTCAACCACATCGCTGATGTTTTCGATTGCGTTCGGTGTGTTACTCTCTCGTACGTATGAAGCCAATTGCCATGGCCCGATGAAATTGTGATCGGCTTTGATGTTTGCGTAGTAACAAATTTTGGGTCGTCGATTTATCGTATCGAGGCCAACCACTTTCAGAAAAAAACATTGAAATTCAATAAATTAGTAAGAAATATACAATCAACAATGGTTTCAATTGAATTAAACAACAAAACAAATAAATTGAAAACTCTGTTATCGCAATTGGTTGCATTGGCTCAATACCATTCGGCCATAGCAAATTAATTACAAACCAAAAACAAACAAATAAAGTGATGTTCAACTTACACGTTGGGCTTGACTGAGATGAACGTGATAACGAACTGCCGGTTTCATAGGCCGAATCATTTGAGTCTTCGTCTTCAATAACGATCAAATCATTCGAATATTCCTTTCGATGGTCCTTTGAAGGGGGCAGCGATTTAGAACAGCCGGGTTTGCTTGCATCCGATCCAAAGTCCATCGTTATCGTTCAATCGGTTACTTTGACATACGCGCTACAACAAGTGGTCGCTCAAAAAAATACAACTGCTTTGTTACGATGACATGAATTGTTCGGTTTTAGTCGCTGTATTTAAAAAACTAAATATTTTCTATAATCGGATCGGTTTTTTTTTAATCAGGTATGCCTTTTGGTTTACTGCAAATACTCAAATGTCAACTCAAACTCATTTCGCATCAACTGAAAATTGTGTGCTCCTTGAAATGTCATTGTATTTCGCCAACTTCACACCACCACCGATCGATCAACTGATAACTCACACATGCACTAAGTCGTCCAACCCTTAGAAAATTAATCGAATTGACAAAATCAAAATTTCAATAAGACTGTTCGATGAATGAATTTGGAATAGGAAAAAAGGAATTACTAATTGATTTTATGATTTAAAAAAATGGATCAAACAATCGGTTTTTTTTATCTTCTATGTTTAAAAAAAACTCTTTCAGGTGTTAAGCTACAAAAAACAAACGGTAGATGTCGTGTATGTCAAGTATTTGTGTTTTCTTTTTTTCATCTTCTTCTCATAATGAAAGGCCGAATCGGTTTGAGTTTGTCCACAACAATTTTATTGCTTTTTTTCTTCATCACTTTTTACAAAACAATGATTGAGATTTGTGTAAGGCTGCCACACTCTTGCCACAGCTGTACGTAGTACATTTGCGTTGTATGTGTTAGTGTGTGTGTGATTATGATAACTTGTACTCAAAATGGAGGCGCACGTTTAATTTCACGCAGTTATACTTGATATAATTGCATCTCTCTGAAATTGAATAAAATTCAAAAATAACAAATAGAAAATAGAATCGACAGCATAAATATAACAAGAATAAACAAGACCATAGAACTTCGCTTCGCTCCGCTCAGCGTTCTTGAGTTTTTAGTTTCTTAATCTATTTTGTTGTTTCACATCAAACTATTTTTTGGTGCACTAGATGAAATGTATTTCATCAAAGTAACTTTGAAGTAATATATTTATTTGCAAAATGAATTACAAGATCTTGGTTTTATTTCTTTTTTGAAATATCTTGCTTTTGGTTTGAATTAAATAAATAATATGACCATAGAATCTAAAATCACTTTAATTCTGTTCAAGACAAAGAAAATATTATACGAAAAATTAATGTAATTTTTAAACAACATTTAATAATAAAAATTTGATTGGCGCTTTGTGATATTATGCACTTATTTGTCGTTAGTGCACCTGTTTTAAATTAAATAAAAAATATGAGCATAAAATTCAAATTCACCATAATTTGTTTCATCACTCAAAAAGTATTAAGAAAAAAAAGCAGATTAGTAGCTCTACATTTCATGTAGTGCTAAAAACATGAAAACAGTTATGAAAAACCAGAAAAAAGACTCCGAATGAACATTTAGCTTTCATAGAATATGGCGTATTTCATCTGATATTGTCAATACCTGGAACTGTGTACATAAATAAATCTCACGGAAATATGATATGAGATAAAATTGACAAATATTGCGATATGAGATCAAATGTATGGTGTCATACATAGTATGAATGCTCAAAACGCAATGAAAAACCATGTAACCGCTTCTCTTGGATGGCAGCAAACTTAGAATGAAAGCAATGGATACGAAATCGCTTGAAATGTTGGCAAAAACTCTTGATTTTCTTCGAATGTTTCTTGTGAATTCGATAAAAACATCTTGATTTTCTTTGAATGACAAGACTACTCAAGCTGAATGACTTATCCGGAAAGGAGCCAAAACTCATTTACTTCATATCATTCAATTTTTTGTGCAAGTTTAAAGCAGCATGTGATAGCCAGTTTGTACGACAGTGTGTCAAGTGTATGGTTAAGCATATGGGGAAACAAGGTGTCGGAATTTAATATATGTATGAACGGATGTTTGCAATGTTTGGATAGATTATGATTATCAAATGTTGGGCAGTCGGCAAGTGGCGTATGTAAGTGTCATTATTTGCGATAGTTTGCTGCACTGCTTGAATGTTTCGACAATCAACGGGGCTCGAACATGGTGTTTGGTGCACGCTGGATTATTTACAGGATCATAATTTATATTTTATCGAATTTATTATGCTTTGATTCGACGCTGTCATTTTCATCGCCTTTTCACTACGTGAACATAGGGAGCTCATGCAAGGGCGCGAACAACGACAACACAGATGACTCCGTTTGTTTCGCGTTTTGGCAAATTTCAAAAATATGATGCTGTTAATAGCCTGGTGTGTGTGTGTGTGTGTGTGCGCGCATAGAATGTTTTAATGTTTTGCAATTGCTAAACCAATTGCCATCAGCATGGCATTTTGGTTGCGAGGCGTGAGACTGACGATATGGCAAAAATTGGCTTTCGCAGCCGGATGGCAAAATTTAGAGGAACAAGATGAACAAGCGCGCGCGAACGTGACACAGAGGAAGGGAAATCCAGATAGTAAAATGTATTTTACATGGAAATGCATACAGTCAACACATGTGCGCTGCTATAATATGCTCGTATGTTGCCACTTTATGACGCGCGACACAAGTATTTAAACATTGGGTGTAAAATATGTGCTCCGATTTATGATTACGAACGCTTGCAAGCGTGTATACATGCGAGTGTATGTAGCAGTTGTTAAATTCAATTAAGAGGAAGATTCGCATATGTTTTCGTGCCTGAAACTGCATTCTAATTGAATTTTCACGTACCTGGTGTGCATTTTAGCAGCCATTTGACGCCCGCTGTTACACCACTTTGTACTATGATGAAGTGTGGGCGAAGCGAGAAAATTACGTTGAATTTTTCGATCGATTTTTTCGCGACGCTATGTTATCAAACTGCCACGTGGAATCTTTGCCGTGATCCTTGACGATGAGCCCATTTTGTTGATAAATCGTCCGCAATCGATCACATATTTCAAACAATTTCTTATCTTTATTCGATTTGGCATCAGCCAATAAATCCGCTCGGTACTTTAAAATATCGTTAATGAGATGTTCAGCTAAAAATTGAGTTGAGCCCGTATTTTTAACGGCCATTTTCCCAGACTCTGTCCGTTCGAATGCATTGGCAATAATATCATGGCATCCGACCATCGTTAAAAATTCTCTTACAATATTTTGTCCACCTTTTATCACATCCAAGCCATTGCCCTGCACCGGAGTCTCTGATGAATCCCAAGATTGTCGATGCTTTGGATTGATTGCTTTATTTATTACGGTGATTAGTTCCATTAAAGCAGCAATGCAGGATTTCGTATCGAAATCACTCTTTAGCGAATGGTCAATTTTTGCTTGCGTCGACTCAATCACACTCAAAATCTCCGCGCGATTTGAAATTTTACGTTGCAGTGCATTGTTCCGTAGGTATCGTTCAGTATCATCGAAAAATGAAACAAACCGTTTGAGAATGTCGCCAGCATACAGTAGTATTTCATCACTGAACTCAACATGCCGATGATATGTCGATAGTAGGCATGCCATTCGCAATTGATCACGTGAATAATGCTTCAGAAATTCTTTGATGGTGACAAAATTTTTCAGCGACTTGGACATTTTCACATTTTCGGTGGTAACCAAATGGCCAATGTGCAACCAATAGTTGACCCATTGCTTGCGTTTGTGGTATGAACAGCATTGCGATTCTTCGTTTTCATGATGCGGAAATTTCAAATCAATACCACCGGCGTGCACGTCAATGGTGTTGCCAAACAGTTCGGATGCCATTGCAGAGCATTCCGTATGCCAACCAGGTCGACCAGCTGTCGATACACTTGGATCGTTGTCGTATTTCCATGGCACATTCCAATGTGGTTCACCTGGTTTGGCAGCCTTCCACAATGCATAATCTTGCACCGACTTACGTACTGATGAACTACTTGCGCTTGGCTCTGGCTGATCCGGCATCGTTGTTGCATTGGAACTCTCTAAATTCTGTAATTTACCATTGGTTCGCGGATTGGCAAAATACACGGAACCATCGGATGCAACGTAAGCGGCTTTTTCTGCCAATAATTTATCGATAAATGCAATAATTTGGGGCATACATTCCGTTACACGAACAATAATATCAGCTCGTTGAATACCCAACGCATCAATATCTTGCCAAAATTCGTGTTCGTACTTTTTGGCCAACGCATCAAATGGCAATTTTACAATCGGACTGCGCGCAATAATTTTATCATCGATGTCAGTGATATTCATCGCTGTTACCAAATTCAAGTGGAAATGATTACGTAAAATGCGTTGAATGATGTCGCATTTCATGTAGCAAACGGCATGGCCAATGTGTGCATCATCGTAAACGGTCGGTCCACATGTGTACCAAGTTACACAATTTACATTGCGAACGATAAACGGCACATCACCGCGATGTACACAATTGTAAATTGTGATATCCGTATCGAAACCATCATTTGGATCTGGTTTTTGCCACTCACTCGACACCATTGTACTTAATCGGCGAATAAATGCTGTGTGTTGACGATTAATTTGATTGGATATCAATCGCGGCCCAATTATTTTCAAAAGCCTCATTATTAAACGACGTTAACTAGATTTGTTTACAATATTTTTATACACCAATTTTCTACTATCTACCGTTTGTTTCTTTTTATAACCTAAAATTACGAACAAATCTATCAAATTTACCCGAATCAAAACACCTATTCATCGATCAATTCAAAAATGAAGTCAGTTAGAATGAAAGTTGCCAACGAAATACTTGTTATTTTTATGCTAAACGACCATCAATGCACATTCGTTGCACAACGTTTTTCTTGTTATTTTCGTTGAATCAGCAAAAATAAAAACAAAGTGAACATAAATATAAGATCAGCTTATTTGTTTATTTGGATGGCAAAAGGTTTTAGTTGAACTGTCAGTGGATAGGCTGTTGTTGAATACGTATGCTTTTACGTATTTTTCCCGCTCAACAGTTGGGCATTTACGAATATTGGTTACATGACATTTACTATGGCGCTACAATCGCACATATTCAATGTAAGGGCACACAAAGTGTTTGAAATAAATTAAAGAATCAATTTGTTGATGATTATGAAGAAATAAAATGAAACACTGAATATTTTTGCGAAGATGGAATGGATTTTGGAAATCAATCAATTCGAACGGATTATTTTCTGTTTCTTTTTTGCGGTGAAATCACATTTCGTTTGTTCAGATTCCCGGCTAATCCATATCGATTGTGCATGAAGAATAATTTTTTTTTCTCTGTGAATGGTCAATGTGGAGGGAAATTAAAATCTTAGCCTGTTTTGAATAAAAATTCATAATTTAATATTTTAATCAATAACTTTATCCCGAGGATCATAAATTGACTGTAACAGAAATAGTTGAAAACATGTATGGTCTTAATCCCAAAGATACAAGATTGATATTGTAACCGATATTCGTGAAAATTTCCATAAGAATCATTGACGATCATGACCATAAGAAACCTTTTCAATTATCCTGCATTTTCTGTTTGACTAAAAAACCAGCTAAACCCAAATTGATACACGAAACAAGTAATGGATAAATTTACACGAAAATAAAACACATTTCATCATCATAATTAATTTCATTTAATTCACGGTATTATAAAATATCTTGTTGGACAATGAAGCCGCCTTAAATACGTGGACAGTACGATTAATGAACGTGCCGGATTGGTTTGAAACCGCTTACAATTTGCACATTTAAAAATAATAATTAAAAAAAGAGAACGAATTACACATCAATTTACGGTTGAATAGTTTATGAATTGCATTTTTTTTTTAAAAACGACCAGTACACAAAATGATCCGTCAACTCTAGTTGTTTATGTTTTTGTTTAGACAATCTTAACGTTTACAGTTTAATCATAAAATCACCTAACTATCAAATAAATTTATATATATCTGCTCTGTATTTTTAATATATGGTAGATAGCTGTCGTTATTTCTTTGTATAAAATTGTCAATGTCCATTGTCATTGCAAAATCGTCGAAATTCCATGAGATTGTGGGCAATTTTCTTTTCTTTTTTTTTTCCTTTCAAAAGAGTAAATGGTATTTAGAACAATTTTTTCTTACATTTTGTCATTTGTAAATAGAAAACTGAGGAGAAACACTATTGTTATGCGTGTATCCAATTTTGAAGCGGGCATTCGAAATTATTGGTTCAGAAACAAAAAAATGTGATAAATATACGACATTGCTCAATAATTGTCATTTGATTGGAAAGCCATTTGTTCTCTTTAGAAGAAGAAAAAACCAACACAAGACATCGGCTTCCTATTTTGCAATCAATTTAATTTGGCTAATGAAATTTATTTGCTTTCATCGCTTAACATTTCATTTAACTACATATTTACCTTATTTATTGCAATGGTATTTTTTTTTGTAAAACGTTATTTCATTTTTTTTTTACAAATTCTCAATTCAAAACAAACAGAAAATATGTGATCAAAAAGATCGTGAAAATAAAGTCATTTCTCAATAAAAGAAAAATTTACAAATTTCAAATACACAAAATAAAAGAACGAACGAACGAAAAAAAATCATTTAAACCATAATAACAAATGATAGAAAATCTTTAATTTTGCTGACTTGCAAAACAAAAACAGAAAATACAAAAAATTAAATTGAAATATATATGAATATATATGTATACAATAACCGACCAAGAAATAAGGAACGAATATCGAAAAAGTGAAATACAAATTAAAAACTCATATGGGAGAGCACACAATGAATTAAATGCGTGTGTTAAAATTCTGCTTAAATGTTAAGTGTGTCCAGATATACTCAATCAGGCGGACAATGTTGGTACAGCTTTGGTTTTGCCGACTGTGATATTGTGTGTGTGTGATGCCTACTTATAATTTTCGGATGCTTCGATCGCCTGCAGCACTGTTCAATTTTGACCTAAAAAAAGAAATAATCCATCAGTGACGTTAAAGAGAAAATTAAATTATTCACACCGAGAGTGCGTGTGTGTTTGGAATGGAGGAATGGATAACAAGAAGAGTATTATATACAAAATTAAATTGTGGATGTTAGCTTTTGACAACGCACTTAATTAAATTGTTTTCAAGTGCTGTGAGAAAGTTGCATTTTCCCATCTAATTGACTAAACCTTTATAGTTACATTAAAACAACGCATAATCTCAACTAAATTGGGTAGAAAAGTTGGCCTTAATTGATTTTAGTTGTTGTGTTAATTTATCAAATTAATTTGATTCGGTCAATAGCCGATGAAATAGTTTTAGAGTTAGTACAAATGCTCATCACCAAATTAAATACGAATTTTTGAGTTCATTAGTTTTGTTAAATTGTGCAATTGTTGCAAATTTCTGTTAGTTTGTTAAACAAATAAATGTCTTAATCGAAAATAAATGAGGAATTGCGAGTGAATTGTATTAGCCATGCAAATGGTTAGTGCCTCTTTTCAATTGTCCACCGGGCAAATAAAATTGCTTTAAAGAAAACTATTAATGTGAATGGTTAAATGGTTAGTCGAATAAATCGAACGCGAATAAGCGAGGAAAAGAAAACCGTTTGATAAGCTTACCCCCAAAAAAGTCTGTGTGCTTTTGACATTTGCTTTTATGTTTTTTTTTTGTTAAATAGGCTCATTTAACCGATTGTTGGATGAAAAGGACAGTTTTGTTTGATATCTAAAAAAGTGAAGTATCGAATATTTGACGCGCGCACCCACGCAGTGGGAATACGAAAATGGTTCCAATATTACATACAAATGCCTTAACCCAATTGCTTAATTTTTCTTTTCTATTCTGATGCGAATCGATTGAATATCCATTTACATTTTTTTTACATTGTAGCCATTGTTTCGAAGCGTATTTGCATGTGTATGTTATGTCATGATAAATTTGTCTATACTTTCTTCATAGCATACAAAAATTAATGTTGCGCTTAACGTACGTGTTCCGTTTTTGTTCGAGTGTAAAATAAAAGAGAGAAGAGATTTGTTTCTTTGCTTTAGTTTGGATGGTTGTTTGGCTTTATGAACTTTTCGCCGATCGTCGGTATGAACATTTAAATTTTTCGTTTACTTTTGCTAGAGATGTTACTCAGGCAGTGTGGGCAACGTTGACCTTTGGAAAGTAAGTTAAGTTTTGATTTAAGAGAGAAAAGAAAGAAAAATTAAAATCAGATAAAATACAGTTCAGTTGAATTTAAAATTTTGTTTGTGTCCGATAATTTCGAGAAAAAAATAATATTTGGAAGTCAATAGAAATTGGTTCCGTCTAATTCTGTTTTTTTTTTCTTCGGTTGGCTAGATTAAACCCATAGCTTAATAGGCAATAAATACAACTTAAATTCGAATTATGGAAAAAGCAAAAAAAAATGTACGAAAAGAATTGTTAAAATTAAAAAATAATAATAATTCGAAATTGCATTTGCTCGGAGATAAAACAACATAAACAAATTCTTACAGTTCCATGGACAAAACTGTTGGATTGGTACAGGCTTGAGGTGTTCGCACGTGGCATTGTTTATGACATTTGAATTTGCAGTCTCTGCATTCATAGCCCTGTTTTCCTGGGCGTCTCGGTATCGAACGATTACATACATCACATAATAAGCCACTGTGAAATGACACGAATTAGTATTTTTGTCAATGAGTTTATATGTTTGAATTTCCAAATATGAACATAATAAGCCTTTGGACACTCACCCGCTCAAGTGTTTCGCTAAAAACGTGTGATCGTTGTAAATGTGCAGTTTCGTACCCTTGCGTCGCCATCTCGGTCTTTGTGCTATCGAGAGGGGAACCAAGAAGTGCCTACAATTGAATAAATAAACACAGGGATTTAATTTTATACGTTGTTTTGCACTGAATTCTTTTTCTCTGGATTAATACTTTTTCGCCAAAAATAAATTTATACTCATCAAGAAACACTTATGAGTTCTTTTTCTATAACTGAGACGGAAAAAAACTTTGAGGAAAAAAAGAGACAAAAAAAATGTTGAGCAAAAGAGACACAACTCAGCATTGGGTGGAAAAAATGCTTTTTGCACTTTTCTTGATACTGTAAAGTGGTAACGATTAGATGGAACATCGAGAAATCTTCAAATATGCCAAAGAAATCTAATTGTTATGTTTTTACAGTAACGAGAAAAGTGAAAAAAAAGTCTTTTCCGCTCAATGCTGAGTTGTGTCTCTTTTGCTTGGAACTTTATTTGTCTTTTTCTGGCTCAACGTTTTTTTTCTGTCTTAGTTATAGTGAAGAAAAAAAACCACATCAGTTTGACTCTTGCTCTATGGGTGTCAATTGAAAATTACAAATGTCTAAATGAATTTCTCAAAAATATAAATTATGAGTGAAAAATGTGTACAAAATTAATTACCGTTTCACGCCGTTTTCTATCGTTTCAAGTACCAGTGTTGACGCTTCGTGTACAAATGTCCTAGCGCTGGCGCTGGAAAATCCCGAGATAGCAGAAGATTCTGAAAGTGAGGATCGACGTGATTGATCGAATGAAGGAGACACTACTAATCGTGGACCTTTTTGGGCATTTTTTATTTTTTATTTTTGAAGTGTTTTTGTTTTTATGATGATGTTGTTCATGTGTCATTATCGTAGATATGGTATGTTTGGTATGATTTTGTTTGTATTTCAAACGTTTTACACAACACCGTGAGCAACAACCGAATACGAGAACGAAATGTACCAAAAATTAAAGTTGGGATAACGAAAAGAAAAATCGTAAAAAGAAAAGAAAAAAATTAAAGAAAAGGAAAAAAAAGTATATCGTTACAATCTACTTACAAATGATGGTTCATATTTATTTAAATTGAAAAGCTAAAAGCGGAAGGAAGAATATAGGACAGTCAATGAATGGCGTACAATTGAGTAAGATGACCATTGAAACAGTCAAAATGCAAAATGTACGGCATCATTCCATCAAATAGATAGAAAAGAATTTGATTTTAGATATATTGAGAAATGAAACTAAATCAATTAATTATATGAGCTAGTTAAAATTAAAACTAAAATAAAATCGAAACTAAAACAAAAATATTGTAATTACCGGTTGATGTGTTTGACGCGATACCACCACTGATACTATTAGCCAATGCATTTGAATCTACAATTCACACAATAATTTTCTCGGTTACACATTTTGTAATGGTCGACAAACAAATACAAGAGGGAAATACCTATAGCCAATTTTTTTTTTTATTTGTTTCATGTGCATTTTAAGGATCCAAATGTGCCGAGTTTCTAAATGGGTTTCACATTTTTAAACAACAACAAAAAGTGTGTGTCTTACCATTTGGATTGTTTGCATCAATTGGAACGGCACCTTGGCGTTCAAGCGATTTGGCGCGGCTCTTCGAGCGGCCCAACCGCCGCTTCAGTGTGCCGAAGAAGTCACGCTTTTTGCGTGAGCGTCCACGTTCGAGCCCATCCGCCTCTGGATCTGTCGACTGGTTGGCATCATTTGTCGTTGCATAATTACCATTGCCATTTTGATAGCCAGTGTAATTAGTGATCGGCGATGACTGTGCAAGCGGTTCACTCGGCTTTGTAATGATACCAAATTGAGAGAAAAAAAATAGTAACAATCAAAACCGATTTTTTTTTTCTCTTCCATTTAACGAATTGATTGAGTTGAAAGCTAATGAATCGCTGGATAGTTTGTGAATAATGTTTATCCTATTTTGTATTTTCGATTGGAAACGAACAAAATCACAAATATTTAGGCCCAGCGAATGCAAAAATAAAATACGTTTTTTCTAAGCCATCAATTTTGTTCATGTATGTGTTTCGTATGGGAGGTGAATTACAAGAATGGGCACAACGAAAGTAAAAGAAAAAAAAAATGGATTGTTGAGTTGTTAACCTACCGCATTAGCAGCATCAGTGTTTGAATTGTTAAAAAGGCGCTTATTATCACTATCATTGTTAACCACATCACCATTTGCATCGTTGGTTTTGTTGTTGGTGCTGTTGCCGTTGGCATCGGCAGTGATGTTTGGTGCATCAATTTTGGCATCAGCCGATTGGTTATCGGTCTTGCTTGGGATGTGGTTATTGTTAATATTATTACTAATTAGGTGATTTTTATAAATTTCGCCACTTTCCGGGTCATCAATCGATAGAACGGCTGCCGTTGGTTCGCCTTCCTTATCGGATGCATCCGTTTTATCCGATGCTTGTGTCACATTCTTGCTGTCATCGAATGTGCTGTCACTAACATTTGCCGTTGTATTTGCATTACCATTGATGATCGACTCGTTAATCGTTTCCTCTAGTTGAATCTTTCCATCGCTGTTCAATTCCACCTGAGCGCCGAAATGTTGGGTTTTTGGTTTCGATTTCAGTTTGTTAGTTTATCATTTTTATTTTTGAATTAACATAATTCGTGTGCAAGGTTGATGGTTCCGATTTTTGGTTAGCATTCAAGCAGTTATATAAAAAAAAAGAAGACGAGAAAACGCATGGTGAGTGGCATGAATTGATCTACTAATGGGTTTTTTAGAGCAAAACAAATGATCTAAATGCATGTTATGTTATTATCATTTTTGTTTACTTTTGAGTTAAACTCTCACGCAAAATAGCGACAACGAAATAAAAAATGATTCATTCTTAATTGAGTCATAGAACAACGACTACGTTAATCGATTGTAATTACCCGGTAAAAGTGGGGCTGTTCTTTGTCCTGCTTAATACATGCATACAACACGTACGCACCAATGACAATAATTGATATACATATGGTAAAGGAACGGATGTGTGTTATCGGGAACAAAAATGCAAAAATTACTATTTTTATCAGCCAATTAAAAAAATTAGGTTTTTCATTTTGTTTTTTTGAAAATGTACGAAGAATTTTTCTAACCATGCAGCCGGATTTCGGATTGAACAGATACGGGTAGACAGTTAGACGTGATAAAAGTCAGCCACCGCGCATGAAATGATTGATTTCACTATTGTTGGTCGGGTTTAATTGAGATATATTTTATTTCATTGAATAATGTCAATACTTCGTGACCGTGAAGGTCTTGACTGTTTTGTTTTAGCATGGAAAATAGATTTTTGCTGCATTTTATCAGAAAAACAAAATTTCCTAAAAAATTTCTAGACTAAACAATTTTTTTGGGTCCGGCGGTGCAACTTTAGCAAGCTTAGGTTTACGCTTTCTCGGTGGTCGCTTCTGAATGATTTATAAATGATTTAATTTTGATCGCCAATGGAATGAATGGAATTGTTTTGCCGATTGTGAGTTTGTGTAGTCAGTCAGTTGGATTTTATTAAATGGTAACAACAAAAAAAAGACAACATGACACAGAAGAGATAGAAAAGGCCAAAAAACAAAATCAATTACACTTTGTTCTGCATTGTGAAGAGTTGGCGTTTTTTACAAGATATTCTATTAAACTAAATATCTAAATGAAGGATGGAAACGCATTTAGGCAACTGAATGGAATTTTCTACGCTTAAATTCTACGACAGTTTGTAGAAAAGATGGATAAATGGGAGACATCGATACAACTGAGGCACAAGTGGGACATTTTTCTCATTGGAAATTTCGTCTTTAATCCTTATCAAAGTCTGACTACCAGATCTTATCGAAAGAGACACGTGTGAAATGTTTCATCATATTCTTACCCGTTGAACACTGTGGATTATGAGTGTGCTCTTGCTTGGATTGCCATTGTAGGACAAAGCACCGCCTTCCAGTGCCCGAATTGCAGTATCAGCCAAATCGCCTCCATTTTGAACACCTAAAATTGAAATTAATTTGCAAAGCTCAATCGAATTGTGCGCACGCATAATGAGTTTCTATTCGGTAATTACCATTTGGTTGTGTATTGCTGATCTTTAGAGCTTCTTTCATTTTATATGGACGTCGACCACATGGCACCTCAGCACCTTCGATGAATACGAATTCGACGGTGATCGCTCCTGAAACATCATCACTTTCGTATGGTCTTGGTTGCAGTGCTAAAATTTGCGATGATGCCGGACCAACGGCCAACTCATCAACACCGACCAAACCAAGGCCAAGGAATTTCGGTGGCTCATCAATACCGGTTGGATTCCGATCGTATACTTCAAATAGAATTTCAGCTGATGACGGTGACAATTCGAATAGGAAGTGCTCATCCCAATATGGGTTTGTGCCTTGACGGGCTCCAGTTTGATTCTTCTGCTGCGGTTCATCCATTTCAATGATACAGAATGGATCGGTGGCATGCACAAGCCCTTCACCTTTCACCACTTTCACCAATAAACGACGACCAGACGATACCCCTTGCAATGACGACGATGAACTATTGTTCAATCGATCCAAGTCGTACTGTTTGCCAAAATGAAATAGAATTGATATCAATATTTGTGTTCGACAGTCTTAATCAATCAATCATATGGAACTTACACTCAATTCTCGACTATCTTCATGTGCTCGTGGGCAGGCCGCGTAGATGGAGAAGTCAATTGGGTATACACAAAGACGGATCGCAGATGCCAAAATATTACTAAATAATTGAATAAGCAGACAATTTCAGATAATTTGTTCAATTTTCCAAAGAGTTGAAGAAATCAGAAAGAAATTTAAATTTTCTCAATTTCTACGGAAAACTTTCTTTCACTTCATTTCAATTGAAATTGAATTCATGTGCTGAAATGTGTTTACCTAACGGATTCTTGTAACTGTTTTTCGTCTAAGTCCACAGTTTTGATGGCGCCAATGCTGTTCAAGGCAATGCGGATCTGTCAACAAATTCGATAATTAGGTCTCAAAAAAAATTCGGGCAAAAGTAAAGCCAAAATTTGATTCAAATATCTTACATCGGGATAGCCTTCAACCATCATTTCTCCTTTCAGCGTTGTGTAACTGATCTTGATGGATAAACGTGCTCGCAATCGTGACACAGTGACCTTATAGTGAGAAGTTTCCATTTTACCAGCTCGGAGACGATGAACTTTGATTTGGAACACCGGCGTCGCATCGCTGTCCAACGTGATTGTCTGCAAAAACACAACAACATCAAATTGTTTCCCGTTTTGTTTATCGCAATTCAAAGAAAAAAAATGTAAATAAAATGTGAATGATATTCAGACAATTATTGTGCTAACTTACCATGTCGCTGGGATCCGTTTCGGTGCTGTTGCAGAAGATGTTAGCCAAATTTGGTGATGGGCTTTCTGGTAAAACACGCACAATTTCTATATCGACTCCATTCTAAAAAATATGAAACACACGAATCGGAAACAAATCGAATGTCAAGATTATTATCATGTTTTTTTCGAAACAGAAAACTTCTATATTTAGGAAAGGTGTATCGGTAATGTATCATTAATTTTCATTCAAGGTTGAGCCGCACTACACACGGTAACGCTTCAGCTGTACAATCGATGCCAATATCACTGACAAAACTGTCGTAAAGGAACCGTTTGTCGAAGCAAACGCAAATAGGTGGGGGTGTCTCATTGATTTGATGGGCCATTGATTTGGAAAAAGCGAAAAATAACCATCGAAATATAATTTTTCTTTCCTGTCGAGGTTACGCTCAACAACATTGTGATGATTTATTGGAGGGGAAAAAATAACTTTAAAATCGATTCGTCGACATTAAACGCTGAATCCGTATAAAGAAAAACGTTGCCAATTATCGGTGTGTTGACAAATAAAGCCAATTTCATTTGTCATTCGAGTGCTCGAATATAAAATGATGATCATGCTTTTAAAAAAAAAAGAGTCATTGTATTTTTCTTTCAACATTGGCGCTTGATATTTGGCCGACAGTAAAAATCCAACTGTAGAAAAAAGAACGAGAGAGAGACGATTCGTTGTCGCATATTGAGGATTGTCCTGACATTTTTTTTCCATTTAATTTAATTAAAGCTCAGTGATGACATCATATTTAGAGCACAAATTATGCGCTATCAATGCGCCGCCGACGACGATGACGACGACGACGAGCGCTTGTCAATCACATTCCTCGTTTGCTTTGATTTATATTCCATAAAATCGAGACCGAATTGATTCATGCAATTTACACATCTTTTTCTTCTCTCTGTCGCGCTCGCAGTTGACATAATTGCATTCGAAAAATACAGACGTCTGTTTACTTATTTTGTTTTGACAAACTTTGATTATCGTTAACCTCATGGAATTTGAAATGTTATGGCTCGGCCTCTTCGTTTCGGTGTGTATGTGTGTGTGTTTTTTTTTCTTGCTCGTTTCGTTTCACTCGCAATTTTTATACGAATCGAATGATCGTAATTTTTTTTCGGGGTTTAAAATAGAACGTAAACAATCATTGATTAAGTCTGGCATGATTATTTTCGTGCGAAGAAAAAAAACGGCAGAGATAAAGGAATTGTTTTTTTGTCACACATATGCCGCTAAAGCTGGCCGAAGTCGCACGATTAGCACGTCGATTAAGACCTAATGATTCTGAACAACTAGACCTCAGAATTCCATAAATATACACAAAAAAAAATCATGAAAAAAAAATCGATAATTTTTCGTGTACGAATTTGATAGAATTTAGAATAAAAATGGCACAAATACATTCGGACACTGCATCGCGCGCGTGTTTCACAAATACCAACAGCGTTGGTATATCGAGAGTGAGAGAAAAACAAATCGGATAAACATTTCGGAACACAGATGGAGTGTCGAATCGAGCGAGAAAGTGAAAAGTCGTGTTTTGTTTTCTCATTGCCTCTAAACCGATAGACACATAAACATTATATACCGCATGCGGATTGCACACTATATGTTTCTACCGTTTTTCTGCTGTTGCTCGTTGCGTCTGCCTTTTGGCTCATTGTGTATTTAGTCAATGCAGATAATTTTAAATATTTTTGCATGAAAATTAAAAATAGTATTCGGTCATAGTGGCGAAGACAGACACACACGCACACACACACACACACAGAGAGAGAGAGAGAGAGAGCGCTCGACATGGTCGATTTGGCGTTTAGTTGCTATTGTTTGTGCGGTCAATAGGGTTAATGGCTGTATGAATAATTCGCCGCTTCTTATTAAATTGCCTTTTTTTTAGACTGAGACTTTGAACTGAATCGCTTCGGAATTCAGATCGTATGTGCTGGTTGTCGTTTGAATTTGAAAATATTACTGTTCAGTCATCAAATGAATAAACAAGAATTGCGGATAAAATCAATTGAATTCAAATTTCTGCATCGATAACGGAAAATATTTGCTGTGTCAACCACATTGAGAAAATTAAATGTGTGTATTTATCCATACAAATGCTACAAATGATTCAATATTCTACTTGAGTCATCGCAAACGTATTTCCGTTTGTTGATAAAGTTTGTCGGTAATACCGACTCGGTATGCATAAATAGTTACGTATTAGATTGACTTCCCCGAAAATTATTCAAAAAATCTTTTTCGCCATACAATGTTTGTTCGCTTTGAAGAAAAAAGCAGAAAAATATCCAAAATGGACTTTTGATTGTTTTTTTCTCAAATCATTTCATCACATGTGAATCAATCATTTTATTGAGTTTTGTTGTTGTTGTTGTTTTCAATTCGATAATGCTAAATCTCTTCCAGAGAGAGAGAGAGAGAGAGAGAGAGAGAGAGAGAGCGAGAGAGTACTTGAAAATCTATTTTCTATGCGACAGTTGATAGTTGCTCATTAGTTGTTCGTTTGTCAATGAGTTAATCATGTACGTTTAGCATAATACAAATTTTGTGAAGAGTTTTTGTTGTGATCACATGTGCTGGTTGTGGTAGTGTTAGTGGTTTTGGTGGTGCTGATATCTGAATAATAACAATTTAATGATTTTCGAATGAATATGATTTTCTTACAACAACAACAACAACAACAACAACGACGACACATCGCGCAATTGAATTGAATGGCTTGACATTATTACAAAATTCCATGACATTGCCGGTCATTAAGTTTTCTTTATTTTCTATTTTTGAATATTGTCGTCAACTAATGACACACAAAGCCCAAATCAATCTATTCAATTCCGCGAATGAGTATAAAAATGACGTGGCTCACGGCACCACATACAATCGCTGAACATTTTTTCTACGTCTTTTCAACAAATCACCAGTCTTCGCACACGTTATTTTTTCCAATATTCAACTCCACACAACCATTTTCATTCTGTCTATTTCAAAAGGCGAACACTTTAGCGTCATACCGCACGAAATTTAAAGAAGAAAACAATATAAAAAAAAACGACTAATGCTCCACTGAATTTTGCTGCCGATTTCACCGAATTGCAGTTAAAAGGCGTTTTCTTTAAAGAGAAAAAAAAGAGATCCAAAGTGCGTAAAAAAATTATGTCGATTGCACGCTATTACACAAGACCATTTAAATTGGAAGCTAAATAGAGGAAATGCAAATAAATTACGGTTCGGACCGACTACGGCTATAAATAACGAACGCGACGTGTTGCGTTTGTTCGCTGAACGGCCACTTTTCCAAACAATAATTATATGTGTATCTATGGGGCTTAGTACTTTTCTTCTTTTCGTCGTTCGTATTTCGAGTTGAATGACACCAAAAAGATTCGAATTAAAAATCAAATAGAAAAGAAGTAAAAAAAATAAACAGACTAAATCCAGCCACCTCTTAGAAGTTGAGATAGGTAAACAAATGGCCTTTTAAAAGAGAAACACTGTCATATTTTGCTAGAGTAAACACCTGATTTGAAAAAAAAAATGTAAGCCTAGACATGTGCTGTGCCCATATTTGTTTTATCCAAAGTGCATGAGCATAGCACACACACACACACACACAATATTTAATTCATATTTGCTCAACCGCATTCCGAATGTAATTTGTGTGTGTGTGTATGCGGCGGTATGATGGTAAACACCACCGGTAACAGCGGTAAATCAAATAATTTGTTTTTTGCATCGCGATTTCTTTACAAATCAACAACACTGATTTCATCATGAATGTCCAATGCTCACACTTCGTTCATTCATATTATGCAAAATGGATTTAAATTGAATCGTATCGGACGGTGCAATGAGTATGTTGTGGCACTTACCTCTTCGGCATTTTTCTTCATGTGATCGTTGAGTGCTTGAACCCATGTTTGCAACAAATCATTGACGATCACCAAGTCACTGTACAGCCATCTGAATATCTGACTCGTCCATGCTACTGAAGACTGCAATTAAATACAAATTGATTGGTGTGATTGATGCTGACTACCGTTATAGCTCAAAGCCAAGTTTGCTCGAGAAGCAAAATGTACAAAACAAAATATCCGTCTATGCAAAACGAGAATCAAACACAAACTAACCGTTTCAGGCCCGGTGACATTGGTTGGCGGTGGGATTGAGCGTAATGTTTTCCGAAGTTCGGGTCCAGGGCTTTTGCGTGATAAACGCTTACGCGCTTGAGAGGCAACACCAATTTTACCCAATGGTTTTGCTGCCAAGTCCAAACCCTACACACAAGAACAATGTTTACCATCAACACTTGTTGCTTCAAACAAAAAAACCACATTGAAAACACTTTGCCTACCTTAATATCTTTGCTGGTCGATAATTCCTTCGATTCCGAACGGCGATTCTTTTCGCTTGGGCTAATACCGTATTTAGTTGAATCGACACCCGCACCGCCTGCGCCACCATCCTTTTTCACATATTTATTGTATAAAAATTTGCACAGCCACAATAAGAATAGAGCCAATAGGGCCCATCCAAATATAAACATTGCTAATGTGTCCATTGTTAAATCACCAACAGCATCAAATGTGCATATGTAATCGTCGATTTGATCGGCAAGATCGCTCATTATTCACCACCGATTGTGAAATTTGTATTATACATTCTCCTTATCGATTGATTCTCTTCAACATTGCTTAATTCACTTTTACTTCTATTTTGTTATCCGTTTTATTTTTATTTTTTCGTTTTTGGCTCGGAGCTTCTGCTATTTGTTTTCTACCCGTTCGATCAATTGCTCATAAATGTTCTACTAGCTCACTAGTTGTATTCACTTGAACGATCGATCGGTGTGATTCGGAATATATTCTCACAAGTCGCTGGGTACTGTTGCTTATGATAAAGTAACAATGTTCACTGACTCAGCTGAAAATCAATCGATGATTTATCGCTTGTCGTTTTTTTTTTGTGTGTGTATGTGTCGTTGATCGTGGGTCGTCTTTTGTTGTGTCGTCGTCGTCGTAGTCGTTTTTATTGTATGTTTGTTCCTTCTACGGTTTCATTTTCCGATTCATTGCGAACACATTGGCTGAACGGTGATTATTCTCTCTATGTTTGAACTCTGTAACAAAATTCGGAGAAAAGGAAAACAATGATGATTAGCATTTACAAAGTACTTGTCCAATAATGAAATAATTTATCTCATTGAAAGGATGCGAATAATTCATTTTGAATAATGTGTGAAAGTACACGATCAATAACCAAAATTCAACCACTATACAATATATCGAATGGCAACCGCATTTGAAGCACCGAATAGAAATAGAATGAAAGAATATAAATCCGATTTATTTACTCTTATGCTTCGCTGAATCAAATTCTATTTTGATTGACACTGTCGTAATAGAAAAAAAAACAGATGTTCACACGAACACTTCATATGGATATCTAATCGAATTTAATCAGCAAAACGAGTAAATAATTCATTAAATGCCGATTGAATGAGTGCGATCCACTTGCGTCTCGCACTCAACATGCTCTAGCCCAATTATTCGTGTGTATGCGTTTATATACGCCTGTCTCGATAAGATTTTATTCATTTTTATTCTGAAGATGGCTTAAACGGCTTATTACTATTTCGGCTTGAGCAAGCTAAGATAAGATATTCTCACTCGGTGCATGTCTGTGTTTTTTTTCTTCCTTCTTACTTTCCGAGATTAAAGTACATTTACAAAGCCGTAGTAAAAATAACACAAATACCGTAGCTTACGCATAAATTCCGAATTCCGATTGCGGTTGGGAAATAAAAACGAGCACTCGAACAATTTCACAATCAATAATGGAATCAACGAGTGTCAATGAATGCGCCGCCAAACACTGCGCAGGGTGAATTCGTAGAAAAAAGTCGGCGAAATCTTCATGGCCGATTAATTAAAGAAAATGAATTAATATTTTAACCAACCATAAAAGAGTGGGCATATTACTTTTAAGCGCAAATTAATGAATTAACGATTGTTATCGGCGTAATGGAACATTACACTAGACATTGAAGCGACAAACAAAGTAAAGATTTTTTTTGGCTATGAGAAATGATCAAATCGTGTGTGATAATCACATATTTAGAGAGCATTATCAGTGGTACATTGTCAAAATGGTTTTTATCTGCGTTCAGAGCACGGTTTGTATTGTGACAACACTTTTGTATGTTTCGATGTGCCCGAGCCGAAATGTCTCAATATTGGGAACGGATCTCTCACATTTTTGCTGGAATGCCAAACATATTCCTGTTATCGATTACACGCAACGTATATAGCTACTCTCCTTCTATATCTCTCTCTCTCTCTTTCTCCATTGTCGATTTAAATTGGGACATCATTCTCAAGTGATTTTATTCCACACAATTTATCGGCATCAAATTTTGGCTCGAGTATCAATTTACTCAAACGTTTTCCTCTTCAAATTGTCGAGAAAACACTTTTGCGCAACACAATATCTGTGCGGTGTTATAACATAAAATGGCAGATTGAGTGAATCAATGCAACGATAAAATTTATGACATGATTTTTCTTTTCCCTCTCGACTTGATTATCTCATTCAATGGAAAGAAGACGCAGGAGATATTGAATCTAGTTTGCGATGAAACTTAAATTCCAAGAAGTTGAATCTCACTTTCACATCGGAATGGTGGTTGAAGCACACCACTTTCAATACTTGGCACAATATAGATGTGAATCGAAGATATGTTTTTGGCAACAAAAACAACAAAAACGCTGCAATTTGCCATACTTATAATCCATACCACCCAAAAAATAAGCGTCACATTGAAAGAAGGCCACATTTTTTTTCTTGGATAACAACAGCAGCTACTTACTTAACCGCAAAGTTTTTATGTGATCACGTTCCGATTTTCGTTTTTTTTTCTTTTTCAAATGCACAGCAGCATACGACCCCTGCTATGTGAGTAAAATCAAGTGTAAATTCAGTTGAAAATCTGCATTTCTCTCTTGATATGTTTAGTTGGCCCTTAAGAAAACCAATCAACAGGAGAGATTGTATCAAATAATTGATGTGCGCCTCATCTAATTAAGTGATATAATTGCTGATTATGCATAGCAAAGTGCATCACTTAGCCACGTCAGACGAAGTGAAAACAAGCGTAACCGTCTTTGGTTGGTTTACTGTTTGTTATTGTTGTTCGGTGCTTTGTTACTCGATTGTTTCGTTCATTCTAATGATAATTCATGTGAACTATGTGGAAACGTTCTGCAAATAATAGGTATTCGCGCGCGCGTGTGTGTGTGTGTGTGTTAGTGTATGCTTAGCTGGCGTGACGCATCGCTTTGAGCAACGCAAAACTTGTGAAATCATTGTATTAAATGGCAATCACAAGCACAAAACAATTTAGCCAAGTTGTGCGCTCTCATTTATATTTTATGCATTGGACTGGCGATATTTGGAATCTTTTTACCGGTTTAGCGAATATCATGATATCCACTTACAATAGAATCAATGCGATTGAATTGAACAAATACACATAAAAGACGAGTTAAATGGCTTTAAGACTTTGTAACTGTTTTTCTTTTCCTGTGAAACTTTTATTACGCACCAAACACAATGAGGTAAACATAAAAATATTGCACCGATAAAAATCGATCATTATATCTATTAAAAATTCCAGAGGTGCTTGCAGCACCCGTTTTCATTCATTCACGCTGTGCGAGTGAGGAACACTCTTTTTTTTTGGGCAGGAAAATACAGTGTTCATGGGAATTTAAAACGTTACTAAACGTGTTGCTCTATGACTAAATGAGTGTAATCGCTGTTGCAGTATTCGTAAGTGTTTTTTTTTGCTCGGAAAAATGAATGCACCACTTGTGTTGTTCGTGATGCAAATCGCTCCATAAAGATGCACGAAGTTTGTCGTTCATGTTGGTTTTTTTTTCGCAGATAGATATTTAAGATGGAATACAATCCGAACTAATTAGTTAATCATTTTATGAAATGCTACCAGAATATAACGGGAAGTAGGCTTTCGTTTTTTCTTGAAATAAAGAATAAAACGGCAAGAAATTGTAACAATCATTAAGTCTTAAGACCGCTTTACAAATTAGTCTTGTATTCATGGTAAATTGGCCGTAATATCGCTCTCTCAACTTTCTTTTCAATATCGACCATTAAAAAAAAAACTAACATAACGAACAAGACATCATGAAATCATGTTGAATGTCAAGACCCATAAAACAATCGCACAACTACACCACGAACCGAGTAAGTTCTGAGCGAGAGAGAGGGAGAAAGAGACCTAATAAATGAAGCGCGGTAAAACAGTGGAACGTATAAAATATACAAACCATAAACTAGTAATTTATCTCATGGTTTGTTCTTTATCTGCATATAGACATTATTGTCGTTTTGCTGGTTGTTCTTTTTTATGATTTAAATGCTCAAATGGTTACAACAATGAGAGTCGCGGCTTGTTTTTTCTTCTTCTTCTTCTTCTTTGTCGAAATTTTGTAACACGTCATGGCAAAGATAGGAAAAAAGAGTGAACATTGAGTGAGGAAATCGTATAAGTTTGTCATTGTTCGTCAGTGTTCTTTCCATTGCTCTTTTTTTTCTTCGTATTTCTCTTCGAATATAAATTCGTAAAATTTTACTAAATCTGTATTATATGTGTATGTGTGTGTGCTCTTTGTTTTATTAGCAAAGTGAATGTATGACCTCATACAATCAAAATGATATACCCAAAGCGAAGGTAAAGTGACCAGATCTATAAAGCCGATTGAACGTGTGTTTGGCCAGTTGTTTTGAATGCCATCGCAACCATACAACTAAATCATTATTTTCATGGAATAAAAATGTGAAAATGTTCACTGCCTCCACAACCACAGTGCCATTGAAAATTCGTTTGCAAACATTTCCATTCTTCGTCTTTCTTGATGTGAAATAAGTTACTTACTTCAAACTGGCAATTTTTCATGCGACCATATCGAAATTCGGACGCAAACGAAAATTTTCATGTAGCGTTGGTCAAAAGTGAACGAAGAAAAAAAAATTCACCGCATTCAGCCTTGTCTAGTCGTGTTATGAGCGCGCGACAACAACATGGACTATCGTCTATATACATAAACTTATTGCGATGCGAGATAGAGGGAGAGAGAGAGAGAGAGAGAGAGAGATAAAGAGAGAGAGGGAGCGCAGAAGAGCCAACCGAGATCTCTGCTAAAAATAAATGCACATTTTCAATTTTATTCAATCATGGGCGCGCGCTCTTTCTCTCTCTCTCTGCTCAGCTCCCGTGTATTCTTAACTTTTTTATTTCATTCCGATAAAAACAAACGTGAACTGAAGAAGAAGAAGAAGAGAAAATAAGCTGAGCGATCATCAGAAACAGCAAAAAACACACATTTGAAGATGAGGATGAAGAAAAGTGTTTGTGTGTTAATTTGTCGAAACGAAACTTGAATGCATGTATGCAAATAAATAACGCACGCGCATCCTCGCGCATCTCATAATGCGATATATATTTCTTCGTTTTATTTCTCTCATATTATCATTAAATCAAATGAATTGTGTGACTTGAGTGAAATAAATCAAGGATTTTCATAGAAATGAAATGGTGAAAGAAGTTGTTGATTGAGCTCATTGTGAATTGCGTTCGCCTTTCCCCATTCATTATCAATACGATTATAATGCACAATCAAAGACCACAAATTACATGGTCCCGATCAATTTTTTTTTATTCAATATTGTGAGATTCTCAAACTAATTTGCAACAGTGGCATGTAATTACTGCGAGTCGGTTTTTTCTCTCTTCAAATTACTCGTTTTCTTAGAATTTCGTTTGAAAATCTACCTATTTCTCTCACTCTCTTTCACTCTCTTTCTCATTCTCGCCATTCATTTTAATATATGTAGATGTGTTATCGCATTGATCGCACACAGCGCTCACGTACACACACACACACACACACGCAGTCAATAAAAAGGAAAGAAGGTAGTTAAGAATCACAGGGGCATAAAAATGATATTTTACACACCAAACGCAAGCATATGAACACATTGGCAATCGCCGCTGCTGCTGCACAAACAAAAATTTTACCGAACGACACCATAGAATTA